GATCCGAACCCCCACCTGGCCGCGCGCTGTCCCCAGGCGGAGCCTCACCAGGCGGAGATGAGCATCTGGCAGGTGTTGGAGGACATCCAGACCAGCTCCACCAGGCGGAACTGGAAGTAGCCGATGGCGAAGCCCGAGAGGACGTCGGTGACGTGGTGACGGCCGGTCATGACCCGCGACAGCCCCACACACAGGGCCCACAGCACCAGCAGCACGCGCAGCGGCACCGCCAGTACCAGGTGGCTGAGGAAGAACTTGGACACCATGGCAGCGCGGCTGGCGTGCCCGGCCGGGAAGGCGTAGACATCCATGGTGAGCTGGTCCAGCAGGCTCGGGCTGGTCTCGTAGGGCCCGCGCCGCTTGATGAGCTTCTGCACGCCCGCTACGGTCATGATGTCCAGGAGCAGAGCTGTAGGGGAGACAGCAGCCATCAGTCCCCCCCCACCCCGACCTCACAGCGCCCTCCTACTGCTCTGCCACTCGGACCCACCTCAGGGCCTTTGCTCATGCATTCCCACCACCGGGAAGGCTGGAACCTGTGACATTCTATCGCCCTCCAGGGAAACCCTGTCCCCATGAGGCACCCAGTCCCATCCACCCTGCCCCAGGCCCTGTCAACCACCAGTCTGCTTCCTTTTCTGCGCATTTCATACAAACGGGAGCGGAGAGTAACTGGCCTTTTGCCTTGGCTTCCTGCCTTTGTCCTAATATTTCAAGGTTCACCCATGTTGCACATGGGTCAGGACCATTCCCTTTTTCGGGCTGAGTAGTATTTCCCTGAACAGACATGCCACAGTGTGTCTGCCCATGGGTGGAGACTGGGCTGTTTCCAGTGGGGCCCAGTGTTAATGCTGCTGCTGCTGTGGACACTGGTGTATAATTGTACTTTCAGTTCTTCTGGGTGCTTCCTTAGCGGTGGAGTTGGGGGATTGCATGGAAGCTCCCTGTGCAGCCATAGCACCTACAGGGCCCTCTGTGGGGGCAGCAAAGATGACCCCAATAATGCAGATGGCAGCTATGCAACAAGTCTCTTGATTTTCCTCCCAAATGTGGCTACTTGTCCCCTAGGTAGGACTGACCATCACCCCAGTGGCCCCCTCAAATGCAAGGCCCACCAGACAGGCTGGATAGGGTGAGGAATCATTATTGGTGGCAAACACTGTAATCCCGGCACTCTGGGAGGCTGAGGCAAGAGGATCTCAAATTTAAGCCCAGCCCAGGCAACTTCGTGATTTAATAAAACATTATCTTGAAATTAAAAATTTTTTTCAAAGTTTAAATTTAAAATTAAAAAGGGCCAGCGATGTAGATCAGTGTAAAAGTCCTGGGTTCAGTGCCCAGTACTAAAAAAAACAAAACTCAGCCTGAGTTAGGAGGCTTCTTACAAAGCTCAGTGTGCATCAGTGTGGCTGGCTTCTCCATGGCTGCTCTATCCCAGAAATGAGAAAAGATAATGAGCTGAGCGTGGTGGCCCACGCCTATAACCCCAGGACTCAGGAGGCTGAGGCAGGAGGGTCGCTAGGAGTCTGAGGCCAGCCCGGGCTACATAGCAACACCCTGCCGCAAAAATAAATAAACTGAGCTGGGGATTTAGCTCAGTGGCACCGCACCTGCCTCGAAAGCTCAAGGTCCTAAATTCTATCCCCAGTACCGAAAGAATTAAATAAACCAGTGGGAGGAGAGAGGAAGAGGATGCTGCAGGGCATCTGCAAAACCTGAGTCTCAGGCACTCTGCCCCTGCCCCTCAGAGGTAACAGCCGGCCTGAGTGCAGCACACACGAAGCTGGCGTGTGTGACCACACTGCGTGGCCCTGCCTGGAGCCCTCCTGCCCGAGGTGTCCGGCCAGCTTGTGAGCCGCTGAGCCCAGCCCAGTGTCAGAGCCATGTGGGGCCCGGGGAGGTCACGGCCCCCAGAGAGAGGGCTGGTGACAGCTGGGCCCCGGGCAGGAGGGCGCCCTGACCCCAGGAACCCTGGCTCTCCGGGCAGCGGGGAGGCAGCTGACTGACTCCCAGGCCAGGCGCCCTCTCCCAAGGCCTCGCCTGGCCTGGGGAGGCACCGGGCACAGCTTTTCCAGCGTGGCTCCCAGGTGGCAAGAGCAGGTGTCAGTGGAAGGATCTCTTCCCCAAGACTCTGGGCACAGCCGCAGGCAGGAACACAGGGCCTCCACCTCCCGTGCGACCGGAATCCAGGCCAAGAACCTTGCTACGTCGCTTAGGCTTGACCCAAACTCTTGGCCCTCCTGCCTCAGCCTTCGGAGCGCTGGTTTAGGCCCAACACTTGCACACTCTCTGGCAGTGTAAAGCCCAGGAAGTGTGGCAGGACTGCAGTGTATGATGTGTGTGCTCTGGCCCAAGACCTCAGCCATCAGCGTGTGCCGGGCGGGAGCAGAAATAAAACAGAGCCGCCCACGTCAACCCTAAAAAGGAGAGTAAACAAAGTCCGAGGGTAGGGAGGAAGGCAGGTTCTTCTCCCACTGTGTGATGGGAACAGCACAAGAGCAGCCAGGGCCTCAGGCTCCCGGAGCACCGCCATGACCTTAGGCAAAAGCACTCCAAGGTCAGTGGCCCAGCCAGTGCTCACCCTGGCCTGAAGCCATCCTTGTCGGTCCTGATGGGCCCAGGGTTGTGGTTTCAACCTCAGTTTTGTATTTAAAAATTTCCCCTTGCAGGTGTGGTGGCACACGCCTGTGATCCCAGCAGTCGGGAGGCTGAGGCAGGGGGATCCCCAGAGTTCGAGGCCGGCCTGGGCTACAAAGTGAGACCCTGTCTCAAAATATAAAAACAAAAATCTAATTGTGAAATGTAAACAATAAGTCTTTTAAAAAATGAAATTCAGTAAATGAGTTTCTTGAAGAGGTAAAGGTATCGACAGAGAGAGGCATCTTGGGTGTTGTTCCTGCCTTAGAGTGAGCGCTTCTGTGCCCCAGCACACTGCTGGGAGGGGCCCTCAGAGCCCTCATCCTAACAGCAGAGTTGCAAATATTTAAATGTCTGGGGCAGGGGAATATTTCTGAAATGCAAATGTTCGTGTATATAAGAAAATCAGAATAAAGTGGAGCTATTTTAGTTGTGTGTGAGGGCAGCTACCTTGCGTGCCTCCTATGATGGGGAGCTCATCCCCTTGAAGGTACACCTGCTTTCTCCTCTGCTCCTCACTGTCTGGGCTCCCAAACAGCCCTCCTTGGAAAGATGTGGAGCAGAGCCAGAGTCCTGCCCATTTCTAACCTGGTTCCATCCCTGTCAGGGCACCACCCTGGGTGTGCCATTGCTCTGTGCCTCAGTCTCCCCCTCTAACAATTGCACTGAGCTGTTGGGCTTCGGGTGAAGCACACCGGAGATGCTCACCAAATTCCAGCCCTTGGTTCTCCTTCGGGGAAGCAGGAAGGAGCTGGCGGCCTGGGAGCATGGCCACCCCATCCTCTGATGCAGGCCCAATACCGCCCTCCGGAGCCTCAGTTTTCCTTCGGGTAACAGGAGAGGGTTCTGCCCCGGAAGGTCTCAGCCAGGACCTTGGCCACCTGCTCTGTCCCTCTCACCCAGGGCCCTGGCACGCCCTGGAAACAGCAGAGGCCTGTGTACCTAACAGCGGGACCCAGTAAGAGCCTCCACACACTCTAAGTCAGGCCTGGCTGATTATGGGTAGGAAACTCAGATTCCCTTTTCTGTTTTTGAGACAGGGTCTCGTGTGTAGTTCAGGCCTTGAACTCACTATGGAGCCCAGGCTGGCGTTGAAATCCTGGCAATCCTCCTGCCTCAGCCTCCCGAGTGCTGGGATGACAGGCGTGCGCCACCACGAACCACTGGAACCTCAGATTCCTCAGATTTGTAAAATGGGGAGGACAGGGCCCCAGGCCCTGGGACTCCACCAGGGATAAAATAATGAGTAATGCAGTGTTGACAATTTAATAACAAGGACAAGATCGCCGATGGCGGGGACAGAGCCAGCCACCCCTCCCCAAGGGCCCCAAGTCTTTCTTCTGCACGATCTCTCAGCTCCCCGCAGCTCCCAAGGCCCAGCCTGTGCCTGCTGTGGACCTCAGACACTGCGTGTTTCTCTCTGCTCCAGACCCTGCCCAGTCCCCAAGCGATGGCCAGGCAGACAAGGGTGGGAGCTGAGGTCAGGGGTTGGCTGGATGAGGGCTGAGTGCCACCTCTAGCGGAGGGGACAGCTTGCCTTCCAGGCGGGTCCCACGTGGCTGCTGGCAGAGGGCAGGGCTGTGGGGGGGGGGGGGGGGGG